CTCCTGCTGCATCGGGAACGCCTCCAGGTGGTATGCCTTGGCGTCCCGGCGAAAACCTGCATCCTGCCGCTCGTGTGTGTGGCGCCGTCGGCGCATTGGTGCCGACGGACAGCTTCTTGTGGAGTCCATGTCGACACCTCTCACAGCTCCAGAGGTGTGTGTAGAACTGCGACGGCTCGTCGCTCTCCTTGATGACTCTTGTCTGCAAATAACCGTGTAGATCATGAATGATGGCTGTCACCATCGGCCACGGATAGACAGCCGCTGCAGCTGTCTTGTTGATGCTCGTGCCGGGAATAGAGCCCTGCAGTACCGAGTGCTCGCTGCACTTCGAGTCGCCCTGACACTTGTGCAACACACGCTGCAGGGTGATGTGGATCATATGCAAGAAAGTCGGTTTCTTTACTGGAACTCCCGTAGATGGATCTGCTGTTCCAAGCTGACATTGATCAAGATTTCCAAACGTGCCCAGTGGAGCGATGGACTTGAGCGGCGAGCTCTTGAGGATCGCCGAGCTCCTTGGGTTCTCGAGAACGCTTGCCCGTCCGTCTCGATGTGCCTTCCGAAGCCGTTGAGCAACCCACTGCAAGTTTGGACACTCTGCTTGACGAGACGCTTGGAGCTTCGAGGCCTCCTTCATGACTGTTGATGCCGACCACGGTGAGCATCGTGGCGACCAGAACTCTGTCAGGCTGGCCAGGATCTTGTCGATCTTGTCGAGCAAGTCCTGGTGAGCCTTGAGAGGGAAATTCCAGCCAGCCATATCTGAAGTCTCGTGGGAAACTGATCGCCAGGCCTGACATGTATGCGCATAGTGCGAGTCTGCCAGATCCGCTCATGCTCTCGAGGAAGTCCAGATCGTGAAACTCCTTGGATATCTGCTGACACCATTCCTCCGCATTGTCTGGAGTGATGACGATCAGGCCACTGAAGTAGTAGAACTCCTCGGGCATGCACACGTAGTACTTCTCCAGCTGTTGTCTCTCCTTCTCGTCCATGCCACTTGGCCAGAGATCTTGAGAGTAGGTCTGACCTGACACCCTCATCCAGCTGGAGGTAAGCTTCTTGTTCTGACACTGCTTCAGGCGTTGAAAACCTTGACGATCTGGTGCAAACAATGTAGCTGCTGTCGGCGAAACTGTTGCTTGATGAACGTCGTGGTTCACTTGACTGCTGAATGTCGTAGTTTCTGTCGGAGAACTTTGAGCGAGTCCGATACCTGTCTTTTCAGCCTCTAAGGGTGGCGGACCTTCGATCTCCGACTTGTTGAGGTTGAACGCCCACTCGATGTTTGCTGAAACTACTCGTTGATACTTGTTGGACCAGTGGGCCGTCAGATCTTTCCAAAGATCTCGTTGTTCCTCAGCAATCTCCAGTGCAGTCTGTTCGAACCTGTCAGTTGGTAGGAGGTAGTGATTCGAGTCGGTGTAAAGAATCCGAGCCAATGCCACTTGAGGAGGATCTTCCTTTCGTCTGCCAGGGGCTGAGATGGTCATGATGCCGTCTCGGTTGTCGTAGACACCGCAAGCTACCAATGCATTACAATCCACCATACTTGGCAGAGGCATCAGACCAGGGCACGCCGACCCTTTGTTGCCGATCAGGTCGGTCGAGAAGGTAGCTCCTGGTAGTCCTGGAACTCCAAGGGACATGGTGCATACTCGTAGTCCAGGTTCGGGTCTGCCGCCGACTCCGGTGAACATGGAAGTAGAGGGGCCGAAGTGCACCTCGTTCATGATTCCCAACGGCTCGACGATCTTGTCCAGATAGACGCGCAGCGTGTCGGTGCCTATGAGGGCTGAGGATGCTCCTGTATCCACTAGGAGTCCCAGCCTTTTTGTAGGCCATGTTGATCGTAGCCATCGTCATGAAGATCGACTTCTTGAGCAGCGGGCCTGTCGAAGATCTGGCTGCTCCTGATGCTGACGATGATCCAGGCGTCGGTGCTGATTGATCTGTTGGGAAGTTGAAAACCGTCGTCTGCTCTATGGGTGTAACTACTGCCGTGTCTGCGTCGAACTTCGTGCCTGGCTGAACGGTCTGCTTGACTGGAAGGGTGATCTTCGGTCCAGCCACTATCGACGCAGATGGCGAGCCCAGGGTGAAGAGTTCTGGCCTTGGAGCTATCGCAAATCCGTCATATGAGTCAATCACACCATGAGTGAACCAACTGCTTTCTTCATCGTAATCTTCGTACTGCCATGAGTGGTCCTCGTAGTAGCTACTATTCTTGCCGTTCCTCTTGCCCTTGCTGTTGATACTGCTTCGCCACGGTTTGCCAAAACCTTTGCCACTAGAGCGTCCATCCTTACCATTCTTACTTGACTTGGACTTGTTGTTGCGGTACTTGCCTTTGCTACTGTTCCGGTACTTGCCCTTCTTGCCATAGTAGTCGCCCGTCTCCGAAGGCGAGCCTGATGATGACTTGACGATAGGGCAGTCCGTGCTCGAGTGTAATGGCGAGCCGCATGTAGTGCATCCGTCCGACGATGATGTCTTGCCTCCGCTCTTGCGGCCGCCTCGTCCTTTTCTGCCACCACGGCCTCGTCCTTTGCCACGTCCTTGGCCACCTCCTCCGTAGTAGTCTTCCTCCGCGTAGTCGTCGTGCTCGTCCTCGTGATAGGTGCCGTTCTCCTCGTCGTAGTTGCCGTCCCAGTCGGTGCCATCTCCATACCAGGAACCTTCTTGCCATTCATCTTCATAGCCAACCCACATCCAGGAACCATCTGATGCCCAGGGCTCTGGACTTTCGTATTCTGATTCCAAGTGCGAATTCTCGTCTGTCCAGTACTGTGAGACCATTGCGGGTATCGAAGATGTGGTTCTGTGAAACTCATGATTGGCCATCCTCTGCATCAAGGCTATGAGCTCGGGGAAGCGATTCAGATCTCCTTGAATCTGCATGCGTAGGTCTGTTCTCATCTTTTCCGCAAGGCCCGACATTTGTAGCAACAAGAAACTCTTTCCGACGTTGTTGAGCTGCAGTTGTCCGAGGCTTCCTCGAAGCACAGGCGAAACATCGTGAGGAAGTCATTCATCGGAAGGTGACCTCTGGTGAGTGAGAAGAAACTCGACAGGGCCACGATGGACATATCTTGATCTTGAACTTCGAACTCCTGGACGAGAACGTCCATCAGGACAGAGGCTCCTGCTGGTTCAGAAGGGTGTAGTACACCTGCAGCATCTTGCCACTCAGGGTGAAAGGGTTGAGCCAGCAGTTCGTCTCCTTCCATCTCGCGTCGTACTCCTGCTGTGAGGTCCAGCCTGTCGCGCTTCATCTTCATTGCTATCTGGAACGCCGAACCTCTGAGGCGTCCTGCCATTGCTGGACCTTCTGCATATTCGGCCAACTCTTTTTGCCTCCACTACAGTCTGAGCAGCTGGATGTAGCGTCGCAGAGGATACTTGCCGTTGCCTGGACGCCATCCTGGCGGTGTGTTCTTGTTGAACGTGTCGAGAGGGATGCCACCGCCGCTGCCTGAGGTGTCTCCATAGTCCATGGCTGCGTGCGTCCACACAGCAGTCCGAGTATTGATATCGATGCTGAAGGTGATGAGGATTGGTGAGACTGCAGCTGCAATCACGCGTACAATGAGCCGCTGGAAGTTGCTCGCGTACTTCTGCTGCTGCTGATACATGTAGAGGTTCTCGTCGCGATCGACGCTGAGCCAGAACCAGAACGGCGAAGCTGAGGGCAGAGAGACGGCGAGTCTCAAAGGACCTGCCACCACATCAGCGCTACCAAAGTTAGTTTTCCAGCGTTAGCTTTCGAACCAATGGCTTGAGCCATAGTTGTTACGGATAGTCGAATAACATTCAAACACATCCTGAACATATCTCTGATGGTTCTGAAGCCTCTTACCCCGAACTCATACACAATCTAACTGTGACGGGGGGAGGTGCGGGGGGGAGGTGCTGGGGGGGTGCCGGGGGGGAGGCTGCCGGGGGGGGGGGGGGGGGGGGGGCCGGGGGGGGGGTGCCGGGGGGTGTGCCGGGGGGTGTGGCCGGGGGGGCCGGGGGGGGGGGGGGGGGGGGGGGGGGGGGGGGGGGGGGGGGGGAGGTGGGGATGCCAGGGGGGGGGGCCGGCGGGGGATGGGGGTACCGGAGGGGGATGCTGGGGGGGGGTGCTTGGGGGGGTGCCAGGTGGAGGTGACAGGGGGGGTGCCCCTGAAGGGGTGGTGCCGGGGTGTGTGTGCCGGGTGGGGGGTGCCAGGGGAAGGTCCTCCTGCTTCTTGCTCGCTCATCCTTGTCCTCCTCCTTCCTCCTCCTCCTCCTCCTCCTCCTCCTTCTCCTCCTCCTCCTCCTCCTCCTCCTCCTCCTCCTCCTCCTCCCTCTCCTCCACTTCTTGCCTCCTTGCCTCCTCCTCCTCCTCCTTCTTCTCCTCCTCCTCCTCCTCTTCCTCCCCCTTTTCCTCCTCCTCATCCTCATCCTCATTATCCTCCTCCTCCCCCTCTTCCTCCTCCTCCTCCTCCTCCTCCTCCTCCTCCTCCTCTTCCTCCTCCCCTTTTCCTCCTCATCCTCATCCTCTCCTCCTCCTCCCCTCCTCTCCTCCTCCTCCTCCTCCTCCTCCTCCTCCTCCTCCTCCTGCTCTCCTCTTCCTCCTCCTCCTCCCTGCTCTCCTCCTCCTTCTCCTCCTCCTCCTCCCTCACCTCCTCCTCCTCCTCCTCCTCCTCCTCCTCCACGTCGCCAAATTCAAGGCCCCGGAGACGTCCGGTTCGGTGCGGTTCCGCCAGGTTCGGTTCGGGTCGAAATCGAATCCGGTTCGGTTCGGTTCGGTTCGAAATTGGGTCTCATTCGGTACTGGTTCGGTTCGGTTTTTGCTGACAAAAACGTGCGGTTCGTACCGGTTGGGTTCGGCCCGGTTCGGTTCGGCCGGTTCGGTTCGGTTCGGCCGGTTCGGTTCGGTTCCTGAACCTTCCTGCTATTTTGGAGTATTTTTTGACTATTTTTGATTCGTCCTTCAAAATCCGCCGTAAGGCCAGTATCGGACCCCTGTCGAGGAGAGCGAGGGGAGGCACTTCGACTGGGCTCCCGTGGAGGTCAAGCACAAGAGTTCCTCGAACTTTTCGCAGCCAGTGCACGCGTTCGACGTATTCTCGCTCGCGATGTTGGCTTTGCAGCTCGAGATCGGCACCATCGCGGCAACCCGCCGTTTGCTGGAGCAGTCCAGGACGGCGGGTGTGCTTGCGCTCCCAGGCCGTTCGGGTGAAAACATAGTCGCTGACGCAGCTCTCTGTCTTGCTCCGTCCTGGAGTGAAATTGGATTCAAGCCCCTTGCCCCCCTGGCTAATGCTGCGCGTGATGTCGTCTCCGTGACCCGCGGCCAACCCCTTTTACACCACGGGGCATCGTTCTGGTACTGGGAATCGGCGGCACGGGCTTTGAATCACACAGCGCACAGCAGGCACACTCGTTTCAGGTCTTGGGGATCGCGCTGCGTGCACAGTGCGGCCGAAGGTCGTCAGAATTGCCCTTGCAAGCGCATGGACGCGTGCGCTGCGCTGAGGGGGCGTTGGGTGAAGAACTGCTTTTTGAGGGCCAGGCCTTTGCACGTTCCTGGCCCTTTCGAGCCGAGCAGCACGCCGAGCTGGCGGGGCGCAGCGAGGGGCGGTGAGGGGCAGCGCCCGGGCGTCGTACGCGCTGCGGCCCCGAGGCCGCGCGGGCGGCGGCATGTCGGGCAGTCTGCCGCACGGCGAGGGCGCGGGGCTCGGGCGTCGTGCGGAGCCAATGCCCACCAAGACTTTTCCCTATCGCGCGCGCTTCTGCACGCCTGCACCCTTGAGAGCTCTGGGCCAGGCTAGACCGAGGTGTGCAGGGTTGGACTGAGTCAAGCTGAGCTAGACCAGGCCACGCCACTCTCGGCCATGCCGAACTGAGTTATACTAGTTCCATCTCGCACGGTCAAGCAAGCTCCGTAAACCTAATGATAAGTGTTCATCAGCTGAGATTGGAGAGGTATTACGACTGGTTCTGCCCATCCTGATCAGGAGGCCCCTGCAAGGCTGCGAACCAGGCGACTAGCGCACGAAGGCAGGCTGACGATGATCCCATACGTGAATCTCGCCAAACAGAGAGCGCCTTAAGCCATATGAGCTGTCATCAACTGAAACTCAGTTCCGTCCGTCGAAGGCAAGCTATGTGAAGCTTGCTCGACCTGCGGAGCGAAGCTACAGCGAGGACGAGCTGAGATACGGTACGGTTGGACAATGTTGAGCCAAGCCGAGCTGAATTAAAGTACACGGAGCTAAGATGAGTTGACCTGATTTGGCTTGACCTGGGTTGAGCCAAGCCAAGCAAGCTAAGCACGACACGTTCGATCTAGGCTTAACCGGAGCTAAACGTACATCCAGGATCTTGTGCGCCCCAAGGCGTTTTTGCTCAAGCTGGAGCTGCACCCCCCTTCCTCTGGCAGCCATGCTCTTTCCGCGGCGCGGGCAACGGTCTCGACTGCCGCGTGTGCTGCCGCTGGCTCTTGCTGCCCTCGTGGCACTCGTTGGAACGGCCGCCGCCCAGGCGGGGCGAGGTCACGCTCAAAGGTCGTTGCTGCTGCTGCGGTCCGCACGGGCAGCGGCCTGGCAGCCCCCGCCCGCCGCTGGGCATGCCAGCGCGCTCGCCCCGGCGGCGGCGCCCACGAGGCAGGAGCGCGTTGCCCCGGAGTGGCCCCGTGCCAGGGTGGCCGCGCGCTCCTGGGCGACACCGAGGGGTGGTCGGGCGATGAGGTTTGGCCTCGGGCATCTCAAGCTGCTGCTGTGCGTCGTGGCGGTCTTCGGGCTGTACGCGGTGTGGCGTGGCCTTCGGCCTAAGCGGAAGTACTCCTGGGAGAGGTGAGCGTGTGGCCCCCGAGGGGTGGTCGGGCGATGAAGTTTGGCCTCGGGCATCTCAAGCTGCTGCTGTGCGCCGCGACGGTCTTCGGGCTGTGCGCGGTGTGGCGTGGCCTTCGACCTAAGCTCGGGGAGGCGTAAGACTCGAGTAGGCCGGAACTCGGGTTTGCCGACGTTTTTTGACGAGCGCGTCCTGGATTTTGACGGTCCCGTTTCCGTGGGATGTCTGCAGCGGGAGCCCGCGTCAAATTTCCAGATCGGGTCTCGCCATTTTTTATGATGGACCCGTCATCCGAGGCGTGAATTTATGCATGACCACCGCCGGGAGGGTCAGTTTTCGGAGCCTCCGCAGGCGTTGGATACTGAGATTCGGGCCCCCGGGGGCCGGAACGTCTCCACATCCACCGCTCGCGAGGGCACCAGGACGTCGGTTCCCAGGCGGTGCATCTGGACGGATCCCCGCCTCGCACGTCGGGCCAGCCCGAGTCCCCCGCACCCGAGCCTCCCGTGTCCCCGAAAAGGCGGAAGTACTCCTGCGGAGAGGTGAGCGTGTGGCCGGCCGTCGGAGAGCCTCCGCCCGTGCCTCGAGAGGAAACGAAAACATCCAGGCTCAAGTCGGGCCCGTCCCTCCACAGGGGGAATACTCAAAAATAGTCAAGCACAAATTGTTTGGGGCCGATTCTCGATTATTAGTTTGCAAGTTATCGAAGATTTTTGAGTATTTTTGAGTTTCCGTCGAAAATCCGCTTTTAGGGGACATGCCCGACCTAACTCCAGGCTCAGGTCAGCAAGACGGAGCTAGAACAATCTGCAGCAGAGTCATAAGTCTGATGATGCAGCTGATGCTGATTCTGAATCAACGCTGGAGCCAACGCTACATTCCACAGCTAGCGCTAAAGTTACAACTAAATCACATGCAATGTAAGCCAGGCAGGTCTAAGCTCCAGGCTTAATTGTGCTAGGCTGAGCTTTGCTTGGCGGTTCTAAGCTCAGATTTGCGAAGCTGCGCCACGCTGCGTTGCGCTGAGCGCAGCTTCGCTAGAATGAAGGTCAGCTCATCTGAGCGGGGCTCGGCCGCACGACGCCTAGCATAGTTGAGCTAAGGCAAGCCTGAGCCAGCCCAAGCTAGCGTGGTCTGATCTGCGACAAGTGGAACTTTCGACAGCAGTGCCCCTTTCTCCAGTCAGCAGGGAATGCTGTCATGGGGTCAGGATTGCAATAAGTATGTGATGTGCTTTTGCATGTTGTGGGAACGCTGCCGCACGCGTGGCATGTCTTGCCGTGCCGTGCCGTGCCTGATGTCCCGAATGCGAAAGACTTGCCGTTCCGCGCGGTGCCGTGCCTGGTTTTCAGCATGCGAAAAGTGGCCGTGCTATGGCGTGCCCCCGAAGTTGCCGCACGCGTGCCGTGCCGTGCCACTATGGCCTAGTCAACGCTGATGGTGAGCCCAACCAAGTTAAGCCAAGCCTAGCCGCGTCGGCCAGGTTACTTGGTCTATGGAGTGCTGGTCCAATTTGCTGTGCATGTGATCCCGAAGCAGCTGCATCGAAGGTAGGGGGGGTGAGATCGAAGTGAAACGGAGACCCATCCCCCACCGGGAAATCGGTTTCGATTTCGTATTCGTGCCGTGAGTTCGGGCGAGGACAAGCTGCGTGTGCGTCCGAGAGGAGTGGTGCCGCCGCTGCTAGTGCGAAATCAGAGCAAAAGACTCGCCTCCCGTCCGGTTGGCGGATTGGGCCTGCGGTTGTCGGCGGATGTCCCGTGGTTGTCCCGTGGTGGTTCTGCGGTTTTTTTGTGGATGTTCTGTGGTTGTCTGATCGTTGTCCCGACGGTTGTCCCGATGGTTATTCCGATGGTTGTCCCGATGGTTATTCCTATGGTTTTCCCAATGTTTGTCCCGATTGTCTCGATGGTTGTTCCTATGGTTGTTCCGTCGGATTCTGGCACAAACTGAATGTGTTGGGTGCGTTCGGCGCCTCGATATTTGAGCACAATTGCAATACACGTTGCGCTGGTTGTCCCGATGATTGCCCCGATGGATAGATGTTGAGATCATCAGAACTAATCTGCGATCGATCTATACACACGTCGTATGTATAGATAGTGAGGTCGATAGAGTGATCGATCGTGAGAGTGATGGTGGCATCAACTCATCGTGACATCGATCGATATAACGTGATACCAGCATGTAGTGACGTTGATACACATATACTGAGGTCTATATTGATAGTGATCGCTTGACCACGATGTATGCATACACACAACGCTATGAATGTATGCATGTATGTATGTATGTATGTATGTATGTATGTATGTATGTATGTATGTATGTATGTATATATGTATGTATGCGTGTGTGTGTATGTATGCATGTATGTAGGTATGCATGTATGTATGCATGCATGCATGCATGTATGTATGTACGTACGTATGTATGTGTGTATGTATGCATTTATGTATGTATGTATGTATGTATGTATGTATGTATGTATGTATGCATGCATGCATGCATGCATGCATGCATGTATGTATGTATGTATGTATGTATGTATGTATGTATGTATGTATGTATGTATGTATATACGTATGCCTGTACATGTTTATGCATATATATACATATGTATATGTATACGTATATGTATACGTATAGGTATATGTATATGCATATGCATATGTATATGTGTATGTATATGTATATGTATATGTATATGTATATGTATATGTATATACATATGCATATGTATTTGTATATGTATATGTATATGTTTACAAATGTATATGTATATGTATATGTATATGTATATGTATATGTAGATGTAGATGTAGATGTGGATGTACATGTGTATACATATATATATATATATGTGTGTGTGCACATATAGACACCAGAGTACAGCGCGGGGGCCTCCGGGGCCGGGCCTCGACGGGGCATGGGGTCCACGGCTAGCCGGAGCCGTTCGGGAGGAGGCCCGGGCGGCTCCGAGACGCGCCATGATCCCCCCCAGACGTGCCCAGCGTGGTCCACGACGGCAGCCACTCGTCGACAGATCGCTCCACGACGCCCAAGATGCCTCCCAGAGAGCCCTACAGGCCGCCAAGACGTTCAAAAAGGCCCCCACGAGGCTTACCCACAGGGCCCCAAGAGCCCCAAATCATGTTTTTTTTGGGGAGGAAAACGTGCATTTTCAGCACCCCACGACGGCCCCAAGAGGGGATCAAGAGGGGTAACACGAACAGAAAATCCGAGCCTTCCACCCCGAGAGGCTCTCATGAAGCCCCGAGAAGCCCCAAAGAGGCCCCAAGACACCAGGGGACCGAAGAGGTTCTAAGAGGCCTCCCACGAAGGCCCCGAGAGGCAAAAATCATTGTCTTGCT